CTGCGGAAAAACGGGAAAAACGGGAAAAACGGGAATGCTGGGAAATCCAGAACGGGAAATCTGGGATCCCTGGGAAAATGGGAATTTGGGATTTCCAGGAAAATGGGAAATTCGGGATCCCTGGGAAATCCAGAATGGGAAATTTGGGATTGCTGGGGAAATGGGAAAACGGGAAATTTGGGATTTCTGGGAGAATGGGAAAATGGGAATTTGGGATTTCCGGGAAAATGGGAATGGGAAATTTGGGATCCCTGGGAAAATGGGAAATTTGGGATTTCTGGGAAATCCAGAACGGGAAATTTGGGATTTCTGGGAAAATTGGAATGGTGAAATTTGGGATTGCTGGGAAATCCAGAACGGGAAATTTGGGATTTCTGGGAAAATGGGAAATTTGGGATTTCTGGGAAATCCAGAACGGGAAATTCGGGATTGCTGGGAAAAAGTTTGGGAATTTGGGATTTCCGGGAAAATGGGAAATTCGGGATCCCTGGGAAATCCAGAATGGGAAATCTGGGATTGCTGGGAGAATGGGAATGGGAAATTTGGGATTTCTGGGAAAATGGGAAATTTGGGATCCCTGGGAAATCCAGAACGGGAAATTTGGGATTGCTGGGAAAATGGGAATGGAGAATTTGGGATTTCTGGGAAATCTGGAATGGTGAAATTTGGGATCAGGGAAAATGGGAAATTTGGGATCCCTGGGAACACAGAATTGGGAAATTTGGGATTCCTGGGAAATGGGAAATTTGGGATTCTTGGAAAACAGAATTGGGAAATTTGGGATCCCTGGGAAATCCAGAACGGGAAATTTAGGATTTCTGGGAAAATGGAAAATTTGGGAATTTGGGATCCCTGGGAAAATGGGAAAATTGGGATCCCTGGGAAAACGGGAAAATTGGGATTGCTGGGAAAATGGAAAAGTGAAATTTGGGATTTCCGGGATCTGGGACTGGAGGAAATTTGGGATTTCTGGGGTCAGAGGAAATTTGGGATTCCTGGGATGAGGGAACGGGGCTGGATCAAGGCCGGGAGCCCCCGGATCTCCGGGAATTTCGGGAATTCCGGGAACAGCGGCCGTACCTCCGTGAGGAG